TGCAGCAGCCGGACGTAGCAGCTTCCTGGGTAACTGGTTCCTGGTGGCTCGGGTGTGAGCGGCAGTGCGTTCTGCCGGGACTGGGCATAGCCTGAGCCATAGGGACCTGCCTGCTTTAGCTTGTATTTGCTCCTTTTTTTAAACGGCTGTCAAGCAGGTGACAAGTCCAGGAACTAGGCAGAGCAACGCGGGGGTTGTACAAGCTGCTCGAATCCATCTTTGTCTTAGCTGTTCCTTTTACTCATTCTCTAACGTTCTCCGTGGGGCCCAGCGATCTTAGCCTGGTGACACTGTCGTCTATAGGCTCCTCAAAGCCTATTGCTTTTTTTTATCCATTTTGTCAGCAGTCATCTTAGCTGTGTCCCTAAGATCATAGGATCTGAAGGGACCTTGTGAGGTCTAGTCTAGTGTTTCTCAACCTGTGGGGTAGTGAGAATATATGAAAGGATCACAAACAAACTTTAAAAATGGATTCTCCTTTAAAAGAGAAAAACACAGGAAACTGGCTTTTCCCTTGTAGGCTAGCAGAGTTCCAGCTTGCGAGGGGTTGCTTGGAGGCCCCCCATGTACCATACACACCTTCATACCCCATGCGGACCCCTGCGCCCCATACACCCACCCCTGCCCCATGCACTGGGGACAGGGGGCAGTGGGTTGGAAGTGAGGGGCAGCGGGTTGGGACTGGCCGTCCATGTTTACAAATGGGTCCTGGTACAAAAGCAGTTCAGAAACACTAGACTAGTCCTACCCCTTGCTCAGGGCAGGATCATCGCTGACGAAACCATGCCAGCCCAGTGTCTGTTTTCTGTCCAGTGTGTGACCATTGTCCGTGTCTGAACATTCCTTCTAATCTCCAGTCTAAATTCCCTTTGGTACAGTTTGCAGCCTTTGCTCCTAGTTCTGTCCCCTACACCCACAGAGAAAAGCACATCTCAATCCTTTCTATAATTGCCCTTCAGGTATTTGAAGACTGTTTATCCAGTGCTTGACCACTCTCACAATCAGAAAGTTCTTCCTGTTCTTCAGCCTGAATTTACCCTGCTGCAGCTTGAGGCCATTGCTTCCAGCCCTGTCCTGTACAGCCACCAAGAAAAGAGAGAGCAGCTTTTTTTTCTCTAGCAGGCTCGCATTGGAAATGAAACACCCGGATGGAAAACAGCCTAAATAAATGATCTGCTTCCCCAAAGCAACATCACTAGCCCTGTTGCCCTTGCCCTTCCCTAAGGTCTCTTGTCAGTTCTGTTGCCTTTATCCATTTAATCTTACAACCACTGCAGAGAGCAGTGCCCATTGGTCTGAGTATCAGTATCCCTGTCATGTTAGCAAGCTCTGTTTGATGTGGTTAATAATTCTTTGATCCCTACAAAGTGCTGACAGGACTGTAATTTCTAAGGGTCCATGACAAGTTGTACTAGTTTGTAAAATGCTGTTACATCAGTGATGTGTATATTCTTACCTCACTGGCAACAAATAGATGGGTAGGGGCTGGCAGGGCTGTCTGCCCAGTGCCAAGCCCAGTGTAGGTCTGGACCATGTCCAGAAGGGAAGGGAAGGGGTGGACCATATGCTGCTGAGGGAGCGGGCAGTTTCCAGAGGAATCCTTTACATCCCAGTGCAGTGGTGATTGGTAATGTGATCCCATCCAATGCATGTGTGAGCCCATGGTTTTTGGCCTGTTGATGACAGCCAGATTTGCCCAACAGTATCTCTTATCTGTAAACTTACCTGTAAAGCTTCTTCTGTTCTCATGAATAGCTGGCAGGAGCCGGGAGGCTTTTGTCACTTCCATTCTTCGGTCTTGGTAACAGGAAGCTAATGAATAACTTTTAGGGCATTTTGATGGCGGGCAGAGCGGCTTAACCTTTATTCAGGTTTCTGTTGAGTGAGTTTTGTTAACACTTCACTATTTACAGTGTTCCCTTCTCTTGGCAGTCATGGCCTCTGAGGAGGATGAGATGGTGGCAGTTGAGTTGGGCTTGCCACCCCTCCCAAAGAAGAGTGCTCCCCCTGGTCAGCTGGATCAGCCTTCAAACCGAATAGGGACCAAGCTGTCTCCTGAGCCACCGGGAAGCAAGCCAGACCCCCAGGACTCCAAAAGTAAGTGCCTTCCCACCACAGCTGGCACTTTTTCCTGTAGAAGGAAGTCTTTCTTCCAAGAACCATGGAGGAGGCCATTTCAGATTCACAGAAGTTTAGGGCTGGAAGGGACCTCGTGAGAGTTATTTTATTCTTAAATTCATGTAATTTTTTTCTTTTTTTTTAATAACCATCTTATTCTCAATGGGCAATTGTTTTTGCAAAAGCACTGCCCACCCAAGCCAGCTCTTTAGGGTGACAGGAACAGCAGGCCAGGGAGTGAGGTGGAAAGACCTGAAATTTTAAGGAAAGAGAATGGGTATTTGTTCTGGCAACACTCACTGCATACTAGGCACCAGACATGGAAGAGGGGCCTAGACATGGCTATGGGGCACCAGCACAGTGCCCCAAGCTCAGGCAGTGCCTGGAGGGCTTGCAGATTCACACTTCTCCTCAGAAGTATCTGCATCCCAGCTTCAGAGGGGACTTTGTTGTGTCTGGAAGTAGTGCCCAAGAGCCCGTGCTGAGCAGCTGGAAGTATAACCGAGCAACAGGTGTAAAGAGAGAGTCACAGACCTTGCGCGCACACCCCACCCCACCCCCTACCCCCAGCAGGTCAGGCCACAGCAAAAAAGCAGCTGATTGCAGGGGCACCAGCTCTGCTGTTCCTGCACAGATCTCAAACTTTGGCCTTTTGCTGCCATATCCCTTTGCTGCCTTGGGCCTGACATGCTGCACCTCTCTTCTGCTACTTTTTCTCTGCTCCCTGCTGGTTGCTTCAGGGGTATCCAGAAGCCCTAGTGGAGGGTGTGGGGCAGCTCTAATTATCACTGCAATAGTCCCTTGCCCCAGGGAGCCTTCAGGACAATGCTTTGCCATCCAGAAGGGAGGTGGCTAAGATGGCAGGGAGGGGTGGGGTGGCTAGAGCAGCTGGCACAGTGCTGTGGGGGTGGCTGCCTGCCTGCAGGTTCTGGACAGTGCAGGCACCTGGTGTGAGCCCCACCCTCTCTGACACCTGCTCCTCTTTGCAGCCCAAAACCTCACAACGTGCGAGGTCTGTGGCGCCTGTTTCGAGACCCGCAAGGGCCTATCCAGCCATGCCCGCTCCCACCTGCGCCAGCTTGGTGTGGCTGAGTCAGAGAGCAGCGGTGCCCCCATTGACCTGCTCTACGAACTGATGAAGCAGAAGGGCAAGCCCGATGGCAGCCCCATGTCCCCAACGCTTGGGAAGAAGTCCAGCTCCCCCAAGGAGGGGACAGCTGGCTCCCCACGGCCTGCACTTCTGGCTCTCGGCAAGGTGGGCGAGCGCCCGCCCGACGCCCCCATCAACAAGGCCATCAAGTCCCCACCGGGTTTCTCCTCGAAAAACCTCTCACAGCCGGGCTCCCCCATCCTCAAGAAGGTGCCTCCCTCGCTCTCGGGATCTCCTCCTCTGAAGAACCCCGAGGACAAGCCCCCAAAGCTGCCTCTGAGCCCCCTGCAGAGCTCCCCAAAAGCACAGTGGCCGCAGCCTGAGGACGAAGGGCCCCTGAATCTGAGTGAGTCCCTTTGCCTTTGTCGTTTCCCCCTGGGCTTGGGGCAGGGACCTGGGGCTGTAGGCCCCCTCGCTGACTGTGGCACAGCTGCTGGTGGGTTGGGCAGCCTATTTTGCTTGGCCTTGCTGAGCATACCATCATGACCCCTGGCATGGATCAGCCAGAAGCTCTATATCCCATCCTGGGTGGGAGGGTGCAATGAGGGATCTGCCAGTACTTTTCCGTGGGTGGGGGAGGACCCAAAGCGACTGTTTCTCTCACCTGGCTGCCAGCATCCTTGCCTTGCAAACCAATGTGGGGGGCAGAGATCTGCAGACTTGGGTTGGGGGTGCCTGTCTCTTATTCACAGCTATGTGAATCCCTCCCTGCCCCTGGTGTGTGTGGTCATAGCATATAGGGGAGGGGATTCACCTCTGCTTGGTTTAGTGTGGACTCCTCTCCTGCCCTCTCTGAAGAGGTCTTAGTAAAGCTGGATCTCGGAGTTGTTACAGTTGGGGGAGCAGAGCACACCATCTCCTCAGGGCTTCATGGCTGCAAGGCGCCTATGCATCCACCTGCTTGAGTGCTTCTGTTCTGGGCCTGAGGAGTCCTGCCAGCAGTGCACCCCTACCCTTCTCCAAGCGAAGCATCCTGCAGCATGCCGCGTGCCAGATTTCAGTACATCCCTGTCCCCTCAGTGCCCCGCCTCTTATGGGAAGTCCAGAGCCCTTTGGGAGACACCAACCAATGTGGCGGGACATTAGACCATCCAGGACTGTACTAGCCTTGCAGCTTGCTAGACCCCTGCTCTGCACACACTCAGAGCCCAGGGATCTGCAAAAGAGTTAGTCCAGCATGATGCAACGCAGCACGCTGAGTCTGAGGGAGACTTCAGCTCTGCCTGGCCCTGACCAAGGAGTTCAGTGCAGCCTACCACAGGAACTGACAGTGGACCCAGGGGCCCCAGCCAGGTACCTCCTCAGCCCCTCACACCCTCTGCTTCATGAAGCTCTCCTGTGCCAGCTAGCAGCATGTTTGGAGGGTGTGTCAGCCCAGATACCTTAGCTCTGTTGCTTTTCCATCTCAATTTCAGTCTTCCTTCATACGTAGCTTCTTGCACAACCTTGCTTTGGCTTGTTGAGGCCAGCAGTAATAGCAGGACTGCTGTCCCAGCCACCCCATTCCCCAAGGGCAGGTCTGGCCTGAGGCAATCTCTGCAAGCCCTGAGCAGTCTGCTTGGCCTCTTTGGCCCATGCCCTAGGCTGGGCCATCCAGTGAGAGCACAGTCAGTCTGTCTGCATCGGTGTGCCATGTCTCATCCGTTTGCATCTGGACTTTCACAGCTCCCCATCCCACCAGCCAAGCAGACGCCAGCAGGGGAGGCACTGTGGCCTGCGCAGCCATTCTGAATGGTCTAACCTCCACATTCCACTCAATTCTTCCACCACCCTCCTCATGCCTTCATCCTTAACAGCACCTTATGGGGTCTGTTCCACCCCAGTGCAGAGGTGCCTTGACTCCATCTGGCATGTCAGGGGTAGAGGCAGCCAATTCTGCTGCTCCTACACAGGCAGGAAAGAGGCTGTAAAGTAACTGCTAGGAAAACCAGGTGTCTGCCTGACACATGTCTCTGACCAACTCCCACCCTCAGTTCCTCGCACCACTGCCCTTCCTCGTCTGTCTGCACTGCTTACAAGGACTGAGCCTAGACCAGTTGTCCAAATCGCCGAGGCAGCTGCAATGTGTGCTGGCCTCCAGCTGAGATCAGTAGCTGTGCATGGCTCTTTCGTGAGGCTATAGAAGCCAGCTGGGCAAGCAGATGCTTGTCCAGCCCGTGGACACCCAGTCATGTGCCCACAGTTTGGCTATTGCTGTGACATCCTGCCTGCTTGACGCTGCTAGATTTGCATGGAAGAGGTCTTGCCACCGCAGCTGCATGAGGTGGACCTTTTGCACAGACGTGCTTGGACCTGGCTTGTGTACAGCGCTGCCTGTGTCCAGCACTGAGTTCCCTGTCCTTGCTGTCAGCCAGTAGTGAACAGGCTTTCCAGGGCTTCTGAAAAGCCCCAGCCCTGCCTAACCCTGCGGGGCCTGTTGCAGGGTGACGCTGTGGAAGGGGACATCAACTCCCTTAGTCAAAATCACTTTATATAAAGCAGGGGGTGTTCAGAATTGGTCCAAGCCCTCCTCTGCTGCAGGGACCAGGGGAGGAGACGGAATGATGTTTCGGAGCTTGCTGCAGTTGGCCCTTGCGTGCTCAAATGAGCACCCTTTTAAACAGCTAGGACTGGGGATAGCCAGGTCCTCAGTGCAAGAGGTCCACGAGTCATCCTGTCTTGTCACAAATCACCAGCCCTTAAGATCCCTTCAGTCTGATTCTCTTTCTGCCATTTCTGGCCTACAACTAGGTGAGACTCGAACAGTGGCAACCCTGGAGGGGGCAGCTACAGTTGCCTATGGCCCTCTGACACTTCGGAGCTCCAGCATTCAAGGGGTGTCGGGCACCAGGCCCAGGCCGTCGATGGCAGTGGGAAGGACTGCTTAGCTGCAGCTGGTCAGGAACAGTGGAGCCAGTGGTCAGACAACTAGGTGTTTTTCCCCTGGCCACTCTGATTTTATTGCAGCTGTTTAGAGAGATTTGTTGCGTGTTCCATGGAGATGCTGCAAGTGTGAAGCCCCAAGGTGGCAGGTTTCCAGTGGAGTCCCAACATAGCCCTGTGGGCAGCGGCAGAAGCACGGCCCTTGGCCAGCACATTCCTCACTCTTATGCTAGGGTGGAGAGACGGCCCAGGCGAGGTCCGGGCAGGGCCATCCCCGGTGCTCCACAGCCATGCGCCCCAGTGCCCGTCCATATTGTGATGAATGTGTTTTCTTTTCGCAGCTGTAGATAGTGACTCGGGCAGAGACCTTGACTGCCAGTTATGTGGTGCCTGGTTTGAAACCAGAAAGGGCTTGTCGAGTCACGCTAGAGCCCACCTGAGACACCTCGGCGTGACCGACCCCGATGCAAAAGGATCCCCCATTGACGTGTTAAATGACCTCATCCAAAGCGAAGACTTCAAAAGCCGTCTGTCCTCTCTCCTCCCTAGTGAGAGAAAGGCGTTAGGAGAGCTGGGGGCCTCCCCCAGACCCAGCCCAAAGAGCTCGGCTGCTGCAGCGCCCACAGCAGGCGTGAAACCACCACCACCACCACGGCCCCTGGGCAGAGAGCCAGCCAGGCTTCCACCTCACTCCCCTCCACCAGCCAAGAAACTGAAGCCACAAGCCCACAGGCTGTCAGCCGGGGCCAGCCTGCACAGGAAACAGCACCTTTCCTCCTCCGCCTACTGGGCTTCAGATGCTGGGATGTCTCCACTCAACCTTTGTAGGTTCCCTCTCAACACAGCCTCCTCTCTCCCCACCCCTACTCCCCCTCCCAGTCCTTGTTTTGTGAAGCCCAGAGTCCCAGCCCTGTCCTGTACCCAGTGGAGACTTCTGTTAGGCAGGAACTGGAATGTACTCTACTGGTGGCCTGCCTTTCCTCCCTGTAAGCATCACCTTTCCTGGTTCTCGTGGCTGGCTCCTAGTGTGTTGCTTTTGGCCTGTCCCTGGCAGGGCATATGTGCGGCCTTCCCACTGCAGTCCAGGCCCTCTCCTGCCCCATATAGTCTTAGATACCCACTAGAGCATTCAAGCCCAGTGGGTCCTGAGATGCTCCCGGGTAGATCCCTGGCTGGTTGAGCCACTCCCTTTCAGAGCAGTTCAGGGTATGGCAGTTTCTGCTCTTTCTAGGGCATTATCACTGCTTCTCAGGGCCCGGCCCCTGCTGCCCAGTGCTGCATGCATTCATCTGAGCTGGCCACAGGGGACCAGGATCCATCATCCTTGCTGTCAAGCCAGCATTCAGGGGGCTGGAGCCCACTCCGGGAGGGGGTCAAGCTGCTGTCGTACTGCACCTCAGGGCACACATCTGGGGGTTGCTCCTTTCCCCTTGGGCAGGGAGAGCCAAGCACCAGGTCCAGCTCCGCCGTGTGCTCTCTCTCCTCTGAGCTGGCGATATCGTACTGCCCAGCTCCCATCCTGACAGCCTGTTGACTTGCACTCATTCACCGCTAAGCATTCACTGCAGGAGACTGCATGGCTCAGCCTGTGGCTTTCTGTGGTGGCAAATATGTTATGTTTTGTGCGAATCCTCCATCCACTCCAGCACATGCTGAAAACCAGGGCTTCCCGGAGCACTCCGCAGGCAGGAACACTGCAGATGCAGGGGGCTGGGGGTGGAGGGTGCCAAAAGCTGGGTACCTAGCACATGGATTAGCCAGGGCATGCTCAGCCTTCAGTGCACAGTGCTGCCGACTGGCATGGCAGGAGCATGTGCTGCTGAGCTGCCAGGGAAGACTGTTTGGGGTTGGGGGGGAGGAGACTTGAAGGGGCATGTGTGCATATCCTTGCAGGTCACTGTCCCCACGGGGAACTCAGCCTACAGGCACATGCTTCAGCAGCCTGGGGTAGGGAATGCTCCCTCCAGGATATACCCAGAGACACCAAAGCAACTACCTCATCCCAGGCCACCTGCCTGCAAGAGCCAGCAAGGGAAACCTCTGGCATTTGTGTCTGTTCTGGATGTTCACAGAGTAGCTGCTTCCCTCCCTTACGGCCATCCCCAACATCTGTTGTGCTGCCCAGGCATCCATCGATGACCTGAGTCTTCTCTTTCTCTCTGGGGTATCTTCACTATGGTACAGAGTCTCCAACCTGTGCCATGTGTTAGGGGACATTCTTGCTGATATCCCAGCACTGTGTCATGCCAAGGTAACCCCCCTCTCCCCTCCTTGTTTCAGCCTCGGGGGCAGAGCCTGTGCGGGACATCCGGTGTGAGTTCTGTGGCGAGTACTTTGAGAACCGCAAAGGCCTGTCCAGCCATGCCCGGTCCCATCTGCGGCAGATGGGGGTGACCGAGTGGTACGTCAACGGTTCCCCTATTGACACCCTGCGCGAGATCCTCAAGCGCAGGGGTCAGCCCCGGAGTGGTGCTTCCAACCCACTCGCACCAGGGCAGAAAGCCATGGCCAAGGCCATCCTGGGCATGGGGTCACTGGAGCCACGTGGTCCTGGGGACCTGCATGTGGCCACCCTCTCCAAGAAGGTCCAGCAGCCAGGGAGTCCCATGGGACAGTCGCCTACCTCCTCCCCACCCCCAACCGCCAGGAAGATGTTCCCTGGGCTCTCCCCAACCTCCTTGCAGAAGAAGCTGAAGCAGGACCACATGCGGGTGGAGATCAAGCGGGAGATGCTATCAGGTGGCCTCCACAGCGAGCACCATCCCTCTGACCGGGCTTGGTCCCCGCGGGACGAGATGTCTCCCCTGAACCTCTGTAAGTGCCAGCAGCAGCCGCCCTGCCTGCACTGATGGTAGAGATTCCTGTCCTGACAGGCAGGACCTGTGGTGGGAAAGTAGGAAGCTGTCATACATAAAGCAAGGCCTTTGGGTGACAGGAATCCTGGTGTCTACCTATGGTTGGGGTGGAGCATGGCCCAAAAGCCAGGAGATCTTTTGGGCAAGCTGTTTTTTACTTTGGGGACTGTACTTACCTGGTTTTGGGGGGAGGGTTAGGACAGCATTGGTGACATTCATCAGGAGTCTTTGGGCCAGGCTGGAGAAGGGCAGGTGCTGGCATCTGTCTCCATTTAGCTGTGGTTGAGAGCCCAGGTGCCTCCCTGCTTTGGGGGGGGTCTGTAGCTGCAAGCTTACCCACCCTTGCTCTGCCTGCTGTCCCTGCGTGTGTGTGGGATGGCGAAGGGATGTGCCCAGTCACAGGGCACAGTCTCCTCCCACTGATACCAATCCCCACTCCCCACAGCCTCACGAGCTGACCCTGTGCGGGACATCCGCTGCGAGTTCTGTGGCGAGTTCTTTGAGAACCGCAAGGGCCTGTCCAGCCACGCCCGGTCCCACCTGCGACAGATGGGAGTGACCGAGTGGTCTGTCAACGGTTCTCCTATTGACACCCTCCGTGAGATCCTCAAGAAGAAGTCCAAGCCGTGCATCATCAAGAAGGAGCCACACGCCTCCAGCATCGAGCCCCCCAAGCTGCTGGGTGAGGATGGGATTGACCCCAAGTCCCCTGGGAAGGTTCTGCACGCCATGGCACTGTCTCCACTGGGTGGGCGACCAGGGAAGCCCGGCCCAGGTGGCTCCAGCCTGGGTCGTGAGCTCTCGCTCACGCCGCTCACCAGCAAGTCCCCAGGTGGCTTCCTGACGCCGCTGTCCGCCAAACGGCCCCTGCAAGACGACCGTCTGGGTGGACACACGGAGATGAAGCAGAAGGCCTACATCCAGACTGAGCTGCCCTTCAAGACCAAGTCTGTCCACGAAAAGCCTGCGCACACATGTAAGTGGGGATGGGGGTGTTGGGGAGCTGGGCTGAGGCCCCAGCTGCAACACTGGGCACTGTGTCCACAGTGGGGGTGGTGGTGAGTCCAGAGGAATTGGGCCATACCCCAGAGAACTGGCTGGCTACAGCCAAATGCTAGAGGGCATCGGGGCTCTTGCTGCTGGGAAGGAGTCTCCCTCAGAGGCACTGGGTGTTGGCTGCAGCCCAGGCTGGGAATGGTGACTGGGCTGAGTGTTCCTGCTGGGACTCAACCCCAAAGATTCCTGGCTAGAGTCTTTCCTCTCCACTTAGGGTCAGACTGAACACTGCATTGGAGGGGGTGGTGGGGGTCAAGAGGAAATTTTAACCCATTGTCAAACCAATATGGACTGGGGGTGGTTTTTGCCTTCTTTTGTTGCAAGGAGTGTGGCCTTTACCTGGCATCTCTCAGGCATATTTTAGTAACCCTCACACCAAGGCACTGACAGCCCTTGCTTCCCCTGCTTTACCTGTGCCAGGTCTGGGTGCTCTGCCTTGTGGTTGTGTAACAGTGTTGACTGTGTAGTTTCAGTAGTAGGTGAGAGAAGAATTTGCATAGGATGGTTTGGATGGGGCTGATCCTGCCTCAGATAGGGGGTTGGACTAGATGTGATCTCCAGAGGGCTCTGCCTGCCTGACTTCACTGTCGTTATGTGAAAGGGGCCAGCCTGAACATCTGGCTGGACCCAGTCTCCTCCCTGCCCAACCTGGATCCCAGAGCTCCCTGCAGCCTAAGCAAGGCAGCCTGTTGACACCACGTGAGCACATTTTTGATGCTGGGTGTCCCAGCCAGTGGTGCATGCCCTGCAGAGCAGCCAGCAGGTGCCCAAAGCCTGCCCTTTCCTTGTGGGGGTGGGTCTCTCCAGCTGGATGCAGGCCACTGATCCCACAGGGACTCCAAGGGTTGGGGTTGGGTAGTCAGGCTCCAAGGCTACTGTAGTGCCCCATATCCTGGGGCAGGGAGGGAAGGACAGGTGGGAAGGGGGAAGTTCCCCCCTTGCCACCCCTCCCCATCCCTGTGAGCTCTCATCCTGTTCATCTCTCCCCCTCCCCACAGCCAGTGAAGCCTGCTGCGAGCTCTGTGGGCTGTACTTTGAGAACCGCAAGGCACTGGCCAGCCATGCCCGAGCCCATCTGCGCCAGTTTGGTGTAACCGAGTGGTGCGTGAATGGCTCGCCCATTGAGACCCTCAGCGAGTGGATCAAGCACCGGCCACAGAAAGCCGGAGCCTACCGCAGCTATATCCAAGGTGGTCGCCCCTTCACCAAGAAGTTTCGCAATGCCTCCCATGCCCGGGAGCAGGAAGCCACAACCAAGCGCCTGCCCCTCAGCTTGCAGCCTGGTGGAATGGCCCTGGTGGGCAAGAGCCTGGCAAGCGAGTTGGTGCACAGCGAGCCCGGGAAGCTTCTGGATGGGGGTGGTGCCAGTGAACGGCCCATGATCACCTCACCTCTGTCCCTGGTCAAGGTGGAAGAGCACCAGCGCCAGAACATCAACAGTGAGTCAGAGCTGCCCCGGGCAGGCCAGGCCGGGGGCTCAACCCTGGACCCTTCTCCCTAGCAGTATGGGAATGGGGCTGGGGGGAGACCGCAGACAGACTGTAGGCCCCTCCAAGGCAAGCCTCTGTTCATCCCACCCCCCTCCCTCCCTCCCATAGCAGTCAGCTGCGCAGTCACGTGTTCCTGCAGGCATGGAGGGGAGATCGGTTGGTTGTATGGCCCCATGCAGCTAGTCACGCCCCCAGGAGGCAGGGCAACGTGTGGCGGGGGGTGAAACTAAGCCCGCAATGGTCCTGTGGGGCACGTCTCACTGTGCCACCCAGGTCTGAATCCTCCTCTTTCACCCCAGAGTTTGAACGGAGACAGGCCCGGCCCCCAGAGGCCCCAGCATCCCGTGAGGAGGAGGCCAGTGACTTCCAGCAGAAGATGGAAGAGGCGCGCCAGCCCCCACCCCGCATGCGGCCAGTGCCCTCGCTGGTGCCCCGGCCACCACAGACGTCCCTGGTGAAGTTTGTGGGCAACATGTACACCCTCAAGTGCAGGTTTGTCTGGTGGGGGTGGGGGAGAGGCTGACTTACCCCACCCAGGCCATGAGACCCTGGCCAGAGTCCCCAGCCCCTTTCCCTGGAGGGGTTTGCACTCCTCCCAGTGGCCCACCTACCCAATGCATGGGGAACCCCTCCCCATCACCCCTTGACCAGCAGGGTGTTCTTGAACTCCTACGTGTCCTGTGAAACAAGCCGCACAGAACCTTCCTTCAGCACCTCTGTCCCCTACTCTGGTCTGAGTTTGGCTCCCAAAAGGGCTGTTTGTGCCTCCAGCTCATGCTCAGGTTCAGCCACCTTCTGGCAGCCTGCGGGTGCTGCTGCCATGCTGGTCATCTCCCAAGCCTGGTCTGGTGGGGCCAGCCCCTCTCACTCCCTGCCCCCCCTCCTATGTCTGCACCGTGAGATCGAGCCCTCCGGGGCTGGGGTTGTCTCTCTTGTGTTTGTGCAGTGCCCAGCACTGCGGGGCCCCGCCGGAGCCACAGCAGCCGGCGCCCGCGGCGGTCCGAGCCGGGGGTTCATGCGCTGGCCTCTCCTGGGCAGGTTCTGCGAGGTGGAGTTCCAGGGCCCGCTCTCCATCCAGGAGGAGTGGGTGCGGCATCTCCAGCGCCACATCCTGGAAATGAATTTCTCCAAAGTCGATCCCCTGCGCAGCGAGGCCGTGGCACCTGAGGCCCAGGCTGTGGCCGAGGCTCAGTGACGGAGCCCTTCCGGGAGCACTGCCTGCTGCCCCCTCTTGGATGCAGACGCTTGCCCCGGAGCCAGCACGACACCCCTGCTGCAGTCACTCCCGGAGAGGGGCAGCTGCCTTCTGAGCACTGGGCTCAGCAGCCCTCAGGGCCCAGCTCCCCCAGAACGACTCGCCAAGAGCAGGGGAGCCGGCCACAAGCACTACATGGAACAGAGCAGTCCGGGGTGCAGCCTTCAGCTCAGAGACAGGACCCTAGAGGATACCTGGGAAGCACTGGGCTGCGCCCCCACCCAGGGCACTTGTCCCTGAGCCATGGGGAGGGGGCTTTTCTCCCCATCATGAACACCAGTTAGTCCAAAGACTCTGCAGCTCCAGTGAGGGCAGTGCGTCTGCCCCGCAGGCCGCTCAGGCTCTGGCTTGGGCCC